AAATTGTGGACTGGATAGCCAGGGACGGTCTGGATGAGATCTGGACCTAGCACGTAGGCATCGGCAGCACGTGGCGGCGACTTCGGAGACTTGCTCGTGTTTGGGGGGGCGAGTATCGCTATTGGTTGTCTATTATTAATTTGTAATTTCTCGAACTTTTCATTTAATTAGGTAGTTAATGTAGGTTACAGATCAAACGGTTAGCAGACGGTAGTTTGTGGTCGTCGAACCACGTTTTCTTGTTCTCTATTAAGCTCACCATTTTTTTTGTATCATCATTCAAGTCAGTTTACGTGCTATCACGGTAAAAGAATTGAGTAGGTATTTCGGCAGCATTCCATCGCTGAGTGTTCTAGTATAGCTGCGAAAGCTAGTGGCGCTCAAACGAACTCACCCTTCGGGCTTTGCACACGACCTCCCGAAATACCCGCTCAAGGGAAACCTTTTTTTCTTTTCTCTTTCTCTCTCTCTCTATTAAATTGTTATTTAAATCGTTGCATTAATTAAATAGTTTTCATTAAAGTTTGATTTTTATTCTTTTGTTCTGTCCGAAATTTGTCGTGTTGCAATAGAATATCATGAACTTGTGAAGTTGGCTAAATAGGATATCATAACTTGCCGTACTGCAAGCAGCCAGGCCAATTCAAGATGCCACGATCGCTCTCCAGGGAAAGGGCTCCACTGGAATCATTCTCCTGGACATAGAAAAAGCTTTCGACAAAGTATGGCATGAGGGCTTGGTTTGGAAACTCCAAAACATCCACAACCTACCCCTAACATTCGTTCAGTTTGTCGCAAACTTTCTCCACGAGAGAAAGTTTTTCATAACTCTGAACGAAACAAAATCCTCCATTCGATCTATAAAAGCAGGTGTTCCACAGGGCGCCCCGCTTTCCTCAACTCTTTACAACCTATACACAGCTGATGTTCCAAAAAGCCTCCATTCCAAAGTTGCTCTTTTCGCTGATGACACGAGCCTCTATTACAGTAATAAAAACATCAACTATATAATCCCACCCTTACAACGACACTTAAACACTTTTCAAGCCTGGGCCGACACCTGGAAAATCAAAATTAACTCTGAAAAAGCTAAAGCCATGATAATAACTAGAAAAACAGTCAACACAAACACTCCAAAACTAACACTGAACAACACGCAAATCGAATACAAAAAGGCAGTCAAATATCTTGGCATAATAATAGACTCTAAGCTAAACTTCTCTCAACACATAAACAAAAGTATTAAAACAGGAATTCCAACTGCCGCCTACCTACACCCTCTTCTTACTCGCAAAAGCACACTCTCACTACAAAATAAAACTCTAATTTACAAACAAGTGATCAGAGCACAAGTTTGTTACGGGGCACCTGTCATCAGCCAAACATGCAAGCAAAACAAACATCAAGAAGCTCCAAACATTCCAAAACAAACTCCTACGTCGAATTTCACGCGCTCCCAGGTACATTCGAAACATCCAAATCCACGAAAATCTCGAAACGGAAACGATTCAGGAATTCATTTCGAAACTACACAAAAAGTTGAAAACCAAAATCCTCGACCAATTCCAAAGCTCCACTTCAAATTTCCCAATAGTCTAATGGCAGACCCCCCTTGGGAACACCCACCTTAAGCAAAACCCCCGCTTAATGAAAAACAAAATTTAAACACATTAAAGATAAATAAGGCCAAACTACCCCAAAACTTACCTTTTCTTATTCAGTGGATTTTTTTTTCATATTCACTAATCTCAGGCAAATAATGCCCTACCTC